AGCTATCGTGATAGAGATGGATTTGTGGGACAAAGCTGGATGAAGAGGCTGCTGCAGGAATCTAAATGACGGATAAGGCCATACCAAGCAAGATAGAGGCTATGGACCTATGAACCTCTAGAGGCCAAGTGGACAGGGCCTTGGGGGCGGTGATTATCCTGACCATGCTTTTTAAAAATATTTTATTTATTATTATTTTTTATTGTATGTGTGTGCATGTATTGCCTGTATGTAGGTAAGTACACCCATGTCATGCAATGCCTGGGAGGAGAGAGGAGACTGTCAGATCCCCTGGAACTAGAGTTACAGACAGTTGTTAGCTGCCATGTGGGTCCTGGGATTCGAACCTGGGTCCTCTGTAACTGTTCCTAACCACTGAGCCATCTCTCCAGCCGCAATCCTAACCATTCTCTACAAGGGTTGACAATGTGCCCAGGGATGGGCTAAGCATCTCTCAGGGGCTATTTCACACCTATGTGGGAGGTTAGATATTAACATTACCTTACAGCAGAGGCTAAGCACAGCTCTTCCTCACTTGCTTAAGATCATCCAGTTGGTCTATGGCAGGAATAAGTGTCAAACACAAAGTCCTGCTGTCAGAAACCATCATCTAGACTACAGAAACCTCTTCTATTTGAAGAAACCAACCCTTGCTTTATTTGAATGCTGATGCCTCCTTTTTACCACTTGTGGGACACTGGGGAGTGGCTACTTAACAGCTGCCTCATAAAACCTTGTCACAAACATGAAGGCAGCAATTAAGTCCTCCACTAGCCTTCCTTGTCTGATGCAGGATGCAGTAGTTCAGCATCTACTAGGCCTCTCAGGAGAAAGCCAGAGCTACAAAAACACATTGGAGCTGCTTTTAACCATGTGTTCAATTCCATGACATTGGTTCTCAGATACCCATGCCATCTGCTGGAAACCACTGGGCACCACACACTGGGCGTGGGGCCTAATGAAGCAGAGAGAGGCCAGGTGCTTTCACTCTGAGCCAGACGGCCCACAGCCACCTCAGTGGCAGGGAGGAACGGCACAATGAAAGACTGACGAGTCAAACCATCGTATCCAGGCTTTCTGATGGCCAGTGCAGGGTAATGGAGCATTTCTAAAATTGTGTTTCTGAGGATGCTTCTGTTTGGCAAGATGTTAATAAATGTTTCAGGGGAAAAATAGAGTCTGCAGGCAAGATGGTATCACAGACAGTGAATTCAACAAGACAAAGCTTTGCTTTCTGTACTGCATGCTTCCCAGAGTCTTTAATAGACTAAAAGCAATTCAGGAATCTCTAAGCAGAGTGTGCATAATTTTGACCATGGAATTCTGCTCTCCAAAGAAATGTGATTGTGTGTATTTGTGTGGTATATGCATGTGTACATATTCTTGGGGATCTGCAGTCAGACACCCACAAGCGTGACATGTATGTAGAGGCCAGAGGTTAACACTGTCTTTGTCTCTTGCTGTCTCCCTTATTTTATGAGACCAAAGGAACTCAGTTGGCCAACAAATCACAGGGAACTTTCTGCTTCTGCTTGAAGAGCACTGGGAATACAGGCATGTGCCGTAATTCCCAGCTTTTTATAAAGGTGCAGGTTCTCACCTTTACCAACTGAGCTATCTCCCCAGTGCCCTGTTCTCCAAGAAAATCTTGATGGTTCATGGTGAACTGGTATGGAAGTACAGGACTCTTCCTCCTCTCCAGACACATCCATATCCAATAGTGGCACCAATATCACCAGCATAATGCTACTGAGCTGTTTTGGTAGTGCTTTAACAACATTACCGTGATGTGCCACTTGTCAGTAAGTCGATCTATGAAGAAAAGTATTCTCTGGAGATGAGTACGAGAAAGTTTTGGTTTCTTTAACATGGGTTCTTTTTACATAATTAGTTCCAAAGACATAAAACGGAATGTCTTTACAAGTGATTTCTCATGCTCACATATTCAACAAGCATTTATTAAGTACTTTCGATATATTAGGTCTATAAAATATGAAGCATCTATTTGAATGAGAAAGATAATAAGCAAACGAAAAATAGTTGTATACTATATCCTGTAAAAGATATTAAATAAAGGGGTGTGTAACATATGGTAGACGATTGAAAAAGAGTGAAAGTTCTGACCAGTCATCATGGAAGAAGCTTCTGACATTTAATATGAGAGAGGAACAGTGAGAAGAAACCAGTTGGGAAAGTAGTTCTGGGTAATGGAAGGTGCAGGAAGTGTTCAAGGGGAAGGAATGGCAAGCCTCCAGGCTCAGAAAAAGGAGGTGTTGGCTGTGTTCATGACACAAAGCAAGTTTAGCTACAACACAAAGGAATGCAGAGCCAGCCAGCGATGCTGCAGAAGATGGCAGAGGCCAGATCCTAACCACGCAAGGTCTGCACACCACATTCTACAATTCAGACTGTCTTCCAGGAGAATGAGAGCTACCCGAGGATCACAAGCAAATCTCATCTGGTTTATGTTTCTATATGGATTCCTCTAGCTGCTGTGTCCAGGCAGACTGACTCACAAGGAAGTGTACAGTTACAAATAGAAGACAAGAATGGTCTTGTCTCAAACAGAAGACATGACAATGGTCATGATGGTGACAAAGGCAGACAGAATGAATTTTCATACCTTGAGGGGAATTCAATAGATTAAAAAGGGAAGGTCGAATTTTCTGTTAAAACAAAACAGAGCAAGGGAATCCTATGTGCCACTTTTTTATAGTGATGAAATAAGAAAAACTGCCCATTCATCTTATTGTAGAGGCTTATAAAAATTGTGGATCAAAAGTGGATAGTTCTGAAGGGCTTAAGGACATAACAAATGCTAAGAAATTAAGTCAGATTGTGAATGAAGAAGGGAAAGGTTGTTGACTAGGAGCTAAGTGGGTTTGCGGGGTGTGAAAATGCAGGGAGGACGAGGAGGAACATTCTTGGTGAACTTTGAAGGAATAAAGATGTATTGGTAAGGCTGAGGGAAATTTTGTGTGACCCCAAATATGTTCCCCAGGATAAAACACAAGCTCACATATGTAGTCCTGAAGCACACTCCAGAAATACTCTCACTATTTAGTTACATCATTCCAGAGATCTTCTGGTGTAATGATCCCCATTTTAAGGACTGGAATCAGAAAAAGCAATGATTTTTCCAAAGTCATACAACTTGAAAGTGATTGTGCTGGGATTAGCCATTTCTGACTTTGGAGAAACAACTATTTACCACATGAGTCCCCAGTAGTAGCCCCATCATTTCCTCCTGGCTTGACATAGGATCTCAGTTAAACACACAGATCTTTTGGTTTTTTAAAATAAAAAACAATTTATGTACATGCTTGCATATATGTAAGTACGCTAGTGTCATGCAGTATGCATGGTGGTTAGAGACAGCATCAGATCCCCTGAAACTGGAGTTACAGATAGCTGTTAGCTGCTATGTGGATGTTGGTAACTAAATCTGGGTCTTCCGCATGAACAGCTATTACTCTTAACTGCCGAGCCTTCTCTTTAGACCACTCCACCCACCCCCCAACTTTTATCAAGATTCAGATTTCCACAGAATTAAGATCTGGACACATTCTCAGTCAATAACAAGCATTTGCCATGTTTTCAGTCACTGAGTTATGTCTAGGTCTAAACTTCATTCAAATAACACACCCCACTTTCAAAGAACTCTGTCCAGCTAAGAAGGAGGCAGACAGAAGCAAATTATCATACACACAGATAAAGCTAGTGCTTAACACATGTGTGAAGAAAGTCTTGGAGACTGCAGAGTGCACTGCAGCTGTCACCTTTAATGTCATCTTCACAGAAAAGTGTCATTCAAAGGCTTGAAAAGCACTCGGGATTTCTCTAGCACAGAACATGGTGGCTAAGACAGCAGGTTTGCAACTCCAATTGGTGAGTATTCTCTTGTCGCACCACGTCCTAATGTGTCCTCTGCATCATGTAGCCCCTTCTGTCTTGGTGAGATCATCTGTAAAATGGGAATTGTTACACTTGCTGCAAAGGTCCTGTTGAAAAGAAAATAAGACGTATATGCCACCTAGCCTGCTGCTTAGAATAAGATAGGTGTGACTAGATGAAGGAAGACAGCTTATGTGGCCAAACAGGGACTGTCACACAGAGAGTGCCATAGGAGACAGTGTACAGGTCAGAGCACACGGATTCACAAGAGTAGAGATCAGAACTCCATGTAACTTCTAATGTCCTGTTCATAAGCCTGTGTACAAAGAAGGGGGCACAGGAACATGGTTACAGGAGATGGAGGCATGAGAGGCACAAAGAAGAGCAATGAGGCCCAGAGTACTGAGTGGACTGGAAAGTAAATAATGAGATTCAGAAGTCAGACAATGACAGATGGGCTCTTCCCACATACAGAGTCACACAGGTGGTCAGGGGAGATGATGATAGTGTAAAAGAGCTGATGAGAACGAGGAGAAAGAAGGTCTGCTTTTACTGAACGCTGGGCATTGCCCTGGATACTGCAACACTGTGAAAGGCATGTGCCTTAGAAAAGCCTAGTGGCATGGCCCGGGGACACAGTTAGCAGCAGAATGGAAACAGAAATGCAGTTCTGTGTAATCAATGATGCCAGGGCTCCCAGTCACTGTATTCTCAAGGTGGTTCCCACCTGATGGTGTTGGTGGCGCTTGTTCCTGACTTCTGGTCACTGGTTCTCAAGCCTTCCACAAAAAAGCTCTGCCTAAGGCAGAATGCTGTCCCTAATGATAGCACCTGCAAGTCCTGCTGCCAGAAGCACTCTTGATGTTCCTTCCCATCTCCCCAAATACTTTAAAACTTGGTGGGTCATTCCCATCCTCAGATGAGGCAGCTGAATCAGACAGGTTAGCTCTACTCCCAGGAGCATACCCTGCTATCTCCAAGGGGATTTAATAGGGAGAGTGTGGCAAAGGTGTTAAGAGCAGGGGAGGGGAGGGAAAGATTTCGGGTAACTTTGGGGACTTAAAACAGTCTGCTTGTCTTCTGTCATGGGTATCAGGAGGTCCTACCTCGAGGCTTGTTCCTCCTCTTCCTCTTCCCTGCTGAGGTGCTGCGAGAGGCTGACTGCAGCTGACCGATCTCGATGGGCGTGTTAGAGCGGAAACTCTCCTTGAACTTCTGCATCAGGGACTCCACTGTCTCCTGTGTCGCCTCAGCTGCTGCTACAGGGTGGCAATGAGGCTGAGGTTAAGGCCTGGCCAACCCTCAGTCCATACAGGACTGGGACTGGTCACCTTGAGTTTCTGAAACTCCATCCCTGACCCACAGAATATATAGAATCACATGTCAAGTCATTGGCCTAAGGGCAGATATAAGATTGGCTTTATGTCTATGTCTATGTTATTCTAATGAAGGCATTAGAATAACCTCCTCCCATATACTGACAAAATTTAGGCACAATCCACGTTTAAAGAATTCCTAATTCAGTGCTGGGCATGGTGGTGCATGCTTTTGATCCCAGCTCCTGAAGGCAGAGGTAGGCAGATCTCTGTGAGTTCAAGGCCAGCCTGGTCTACATAGTGAGTTCCAGGCCTGCTGGGGCTACAGGGAGGAAAAAAGATCCCCCCACAAACAAAGGCGGGGGGTACATATATCTGAGCAATTCCAACACCAGGCAATACTTCTTAAATAGAATATAACAAGGGTTACCTCACCCATCTAGAAAGTCAAGGTGGCCTTCTTAGAAAAGGCAGTGTAAATGTGGATCTTAATGCTGAATGGCAAGTACCAAAGACAACAGATCAGAGTAGGGATGGAGAGGACAATTGAGAAGAGAGTGTCCTGCGCAGCAGGAGCAAAAAGTACAACGATCTGAAGGCAGAGGAGTGAGGTGCTCCAGCAACAGGACAGAGTTCAGTGTGGGTGTCATGGAGTCTGCCAAAGAGCAGGAAGAAAGGAAGTGGGAGGATAAGGACACCTTCTACACCATCTTCAATTTGATCTCATCTAAATGACAAAGCCTTATCATTGCACAGCTTTGAAGAAGAAATTTGACATATTCAAATCAAACCTCTTTCCTAACAACTACTAATGAAATTAAGGAGACTACACTTAGAAATAGAGAAAGAGGCAGGCACTGAGATTTCCGCAAAAGCCAGTCAGGAGCAATGGTACAGGAATCAGGACAGTGGCGATGAAGGTCAGATGTGTAACACTTAATTCCACACTCCAATTTTATTGAGGGAGAAACAAGGTTTCCAAACAAGTGATACATTTCTCTCTAGGCTAGCAAGCGGTAGGCAAATCTGCAAACTTTTCAATCTTTGGCTTGCTATCCCATTTGCAGTAACACCCTCCAATGATTTGTCAGTGGCCACATTTCCACAGTTTCAAAATTGAGACCTGTAGGAAAATCCCAGGGAATGGAGAAAAGTGAGATGAGAAACGCAGAGAGAAAAACAAAACGCAGAGAAGCAAAGACTCAGGGAGTCTTGAGAAGGAAGGATGAGATGACACAGGCAAGTGGAAGAAACCAGAAAGAGGAAAACAAAATGCTAAATCACCTCCGTGATTTGTTTCAAGAAATCCCAAAGACAGCCTTGACTTGGAAATCTTCAGACTGCGCCTCTGTCCATCTATGTCTCTGAGGATGGAGGATTTCTTCTCAAGTTGAACTACTTAACATCTGATGCCACTAGATTCCTTTTACCTTTGAAAATATTTCTCCAGATTAGGTAGACAAGACTCCTGAACGTCTCAACTCCCACTTCTTGTTTTCCTGGGGAAATGTATCAGCTTAGACAGAGGTAACTGCAGGGTAAGTCAAAAACTAGAGGGTGGATTTGGATATTGGGTTCTGTGGGGAGTCCCATCTTCAGGGACACAAAGGATATCTGATTGCCAGAGACAACTGAGAATGCAAATGAGCCATATGGTGGCATTATAGCTTCCCCACCCACTTCTCTACCTGTCTTCTCTCCAGTTACCTTAAGTCATGTATATTTGAAGGCAATTTAAGGAGATTCCAAATACAGGCTCCCTGCTCCAGTCTGTGATGGAGAGTCCTGTAGTCAAAGGCTAAAATATAATTCTAAGCAATGCCTAGTTGATCCCTTATACCCAAATAGAAGTGTGATTTGTCTAGAACCATAAGAGGAAAGGTAAACTGTGGTCCAATGGTCAGAATAAGGAATTGTCTGAAATCCTCAGAAGGAGGGTCTATTCCCATATGTCTGTCAATATTTGTTCAATCACTTCTCTATTGAGTCATCCCTTCATTCAAAGTGTGTTTAGAGCAGGCATGTTAGTAGACGGCTATCATCCCCACACTTAGGAAACTGAAACAAGAGGATTATCAGTTTAAGGCCAGCCTGGGTTATAGAATAGCACACTAGTATCAAAAATAAAAAGAAAGAGAAGAAAAAAGAAAGGAAGGAAGGAAAGAAAAATCTTTGGGGGGAAGTGAGATGGCTCGATAGGTAAGGGTTCTTGATGCCAAGTCAGTTTTATTCTCCTCTATGTGTGTATGTACAACCCACTGAACCCATTTAGTGTTGCTCTTATATATACATGGTTAGGTTTAACCACTTGGATACGGTAGCCCATTGGTGGGTTCATCCCTGGAAAACACTGGTTCTCTCTCTTTCAGTAGGCATTGCCTATAGCTCTTCATCTAGATGTGGGACTTGTGAAAGTTTTCCCATCCACACTGGAATGTCAGCTGGTGTTTACATTATGCAGATCTTGTTTAGTCTACAATATTGTAGAGATTTAATGGGTGTAGCTTCCCTGTCATGTCTAGAACACAGCATCTAGTAACAGGCATCCTGGTCCGTCTGGCTCTTTGTGTGTGTGTGTGTGTGTGTGTGTGTGTGTGTGTGTGTGTGTGTATACCAATAAAAATCACAGAATCTTTTGAAATTTGAAATGTAATAGGGGACTTGGGGAGAGAGATTTGGTAGAATCAATGTAAATACACTATCATTCATGAAATTCTAAAAAAAAATTTAATTAAAAAAAAAGCTGAACATGGCGGAACATGTCTATAAACCCCAGTGCTGAGGGCTGAGGTGGAATTAGTAGGATCTTGGGGGTTTTCTGAACACCAGTCTAACTCCAGATTCAGTTCTGTCTCAAAAGAATAAGGTAGAGAGTGATAGGGCTGGACACTTGATGTCCTCCTGTAGCCATGGGGGCACACATGAACATGGGTGCATGCATGGGCACACACGTGCTCCTATTCTCATGTGGGAGGATGAGGGAAGACAGGAATGAAAATGTAAAGATTACCCAGGAATATAGTGTGGAAGGGAAAAGTCCTGGTATAGTCTGGCATTAGTCAGTCAGCCATGGTGGAAATAAAGAAATAGGAACAGTAATAGAGAATACAGGTAGAAGTATTAAAGTAGTATCTATTCAGAAGTGGGCAAGGTTACGGATTATACTGTATGTAAAACACCCCCAAAGGTGACAGATTGTGAATATAGAATGGGAAAAGGGGGAACTGGGCATGGGTTCTGCTCTTCTAGCTTTGCACAGCTGAACAACTGATGCTCCTAAGATGAGAGACGAACTGCATTTGATAGGACTATGAATTTGGTTTCAGATATTAAAAAAAACAGGGGACCCTCAGAGCCATCTAAGTGGAGAGGGAGGGAAGTGGTCACACACTCCCAAGAGAGCTGTGCTCTACGCGTATTCCATACATCCATGGAAAATCAGCAGAGTGGGAGCACTCACGCCCGTTCAGAATGTCAGCTTCTGCACAATGTAGGCAACACAGTGCATACATGCTCATGACCTGTGTTGCCTGCTTTCTTTCCACAGCCATAGATTACTCCTTCTCTGTCAGATTTGATTCACCCCACTGAGACCTGGATGCAGGTACTTGAGGGATGCTTCACCTGGCTTCTGATCACATGACTCCTTGCTGAGCTTGGCCAATAGGATGCTCTGATAGGATCCAGGAATGGAGAACGTAGGAACAGTTCTTCGTTTTCCTCTTCCTGTGGATGTAGCATATCTCTGATAAAAGCCTGGGATTCTTGGATCCAATTCTCATGTGTGGGGACCTAAAAGCCCCACCTTGCAGAGTCCAAGAGAAAGTTACTGGGGGCCCGGCTTTGAAAGTCTGAATAATACGTCCGCACTGCTGAGGAGTGCATAAGTGAGTCCCTGCTTGACTAGACTCCCCATTGCACCTGAGTGTTCCCAGTATTGGGCCAGTGTGGGCTGGCGAATGGCGGGCTTACTCATCCCCAATCATTACTCCACAGGGGTCACTGGTTCAAACCCCCAGGAACTGGCACCCAGCGTGGCGCTCGAAGGAAGGTGAAAAGAAGAAAAGAAAGAAGAAAGAAAGAAGAAAAACGGATTGGGGCCAATCGGAGGAAGTTTGGGGTAAGCAAGACCCGAAAGATGGGTAACACAACTTTTAAGTTTGAGGACCCAGTGCTTAAAGCACTGAGAGATAAGCTTAAAAGCAAGGGATTGGATTTGTCAGATCCTGTAGCTCAAAAGGTTTGGGCTGAAGTGATTCATTTGGCTCCCTGGCTACTTGGGGCTAATGTTTTTACTGGGGATACATGGGAATCATGGGAAGGGTTTGAGGAAGAATGCAGAGATGCAACAGAAGTGAAACCAAAAGCGGCCAAAGTAACAAGCTGCACCTCCGGGGTGCCCTGGCCAGCTTCAGAGCCTCCTGGGCAGAAGGGCGGGGCGGAACAGAGCTCATGGGGTCAGCCAGCGGCAAAAGCCACCCACCCCACCCGCCTTGAACTAATGCATGCCGGGGCTTCTGCAAAAGCTGGGCAGGGACCATCCCCGGCCAGCGACTGGCAGCCAGGGCTGCTGGGCATATTTAAAAAAAAAAAAAAAAAAAACCACCTTTGGCAGTGTGCTGCAACTGGCTCTGGGACAGCTGAAAAGGCCCAGTTCAGGGAAGGTGGCTTGGGGAGGGGCCCTGCCCCTTCTGTTCCGTGGGTGGCCAGGGATCCACCCTGCCCCCAAGTTTTATAGCCCCACCGGCAGCAGCACTTGCCAAATCCCAGGCTGAGGGAGTCCTTAGTAAAGCCTACAATGTTTTCACTGACTGGGGCAGATGTGGAGAAACCAAAAAGCAGCTCAATTCCAAGAACTCATGGCCATTGTTTTCTGACAGTATTCAGACTTGTATGCTCCTTAAAGAGAGAGAAGCCCCTATCTTCTTACAGCATCTTAGGGG